TAATTATTAAGGATAAGCAAATTAAAACTGCAATGAAATATCACTACAAACCCATTAGAATGGCAAAAAGCAAGCACACAAGCAGCCAATCAACCAAACAAAAAAAACACAAACAAACCCTGATGATATGAAGTATTGACAAGAATGTAGAATAACTTGAACTCTCATACATGCTAGTAGTAATGCAAAATAATGTTTCCATTTTGGAAAAACAGTTTTTTTATAACATGAAGCATCCATTTGCCAAATGATGCAGCAATCCTCCTGAATATTTACTCAAGAGAAATAAAATCATATATTCACACAAGTCCTTTACCCAAATGTTTAAGCAGCTTATTTATAATTGCCAAGAACAGAAAACAATCTAAATGTCCATCAACTGATGAATGAATAAACAAATTGTGGTACCACCATATGATGGAATACTACTCAGCAATTAAAAGAATGAACTAATGACAGCAATTCTACTCCTAGGAATATACTCAAGAGAAATGAAAACATATCTCCACACAAGAACTTATACGAAAATGTTTATAGTTATTTATAATAGCCAAAAAGTAGGGGGGAAAAACAAGTGCCTACCAACTGATGAATGGATAAATAAAATGTGATATATCCATACAATGGAATATTATCCAGTAATAAAAAGGACTGAGGTGCTGATACAGGCTACAACAGGGGTCCTCAAACTACGGCCCGCAGGCCACATGCAAATACAAATATTATATTTGTTCCCGTTTTGTTTTTTTACTTCAAAATAAGATATGTGCAGTGTGCATAGGAATTTGTTCATAGTTTTTTTTTTTAAACTATAGTCGGGCCCTCTAATGGTCTGAGGGACAGTGAACTGGCCCCCTGTTTAAAAAGTTTGAGGACCCCTGGGCTACAACATGGATAAACTTTAAAAATAGCAGGCTGGAAAGAAGTGAAAGAGGCCAGCCACAAAGGACCACATATTGTATGTTTCATTTATATGAAACGTTCATGAGACAGTTTGGTACTTGTCTAGGGCTGGGGTTTGGGGAGAATGGAAAGTGGCTGCTTTAGGATTTCTTTTTGGGGTGATAAAAATGTTCTAAAATTGATTGTGATATTGGTTGCATAATTTTGTAAATATACAAAAATAACCCACTGAATTATATACTTTAAATGGGTGAATTGTATGGTATATGGATAGCTATTTTTAAAAAAGAATAAATGGGAAAATAAGTAAAGCATAGGAAATACAGTCAATAATATTGTGATAACTATGTATGGTGCCTATTGGGGTACTGGAAATATCGAGGGGATCACTATGTAAAGTATATGATTGTCTAACCACTAAGCTGTACACTCAAAACCAGTGCATAATAAATTAATATTTATTTAAATAATTAACAAATAAAGGAATAAAAATTATTCTACTATTCACCAGCCTATATTAAAAATAAAACGAAATCACAGAGTAAAAAAAATGAATAAATGAAACACACAATAACATGAATGAATTTCAAAATTACAATACCAAATAAAAGAATCCAGATGCAAAAGATAAATTACAGTCTGATTCCATTTATATGACATTCTGAAAAAGAAAACTATAAGGACAGAAGTTAGATCAGTGTTTGCCAGGGCCTGGGGAGAGGTTTACTTTAAAGGGACAACAGAGAATTTGGGGGGGAGGTAATGACAATCCTATATAATAAAAGGCTAATATGCAAATCAACCAAACAGCGGAATGACCAGTCACTATGACACGCACTGACCACCAGGGGGCAGACGCTCAACGCAGGAGCTGCTCCCTGGTGGTCAGTGGGCTCCCACAAGGGGAGTGCCACTCAGCCAGAAGCCAGGCTTGTTAGTGGGCTCACGGCTGGCAAGCACAGAGGCAGTGGCGGGAGCCTCTCCTGCTTCTGTGGCAGCACTAAGGACCCCTTGGGGGGATGTCCACTGTGGGGAGTGGGCCTAAGCCGGCAGTCAGACATCCCCCAAGGGGTCCAGGACTGCAAGAGGGTGCAGGCCAGACTGAGGGACCCCCCCCACTCCCGCCCCCAGTGCACAAATGTCGTGCACCAGGCCTCTAGTATACTACATTTAGATCATGGTGGTGGTTATACAACTGTTTGTATTTCTCAATATTCATAAAGGTGAATTTTAAAAAATTAAATTTTTTGGTAAAAGGGTGAATTTTATTGTATTAAATTGTACCCCAGTAAACCAAACTTAAACCTCATAGCATTGTCCCTTTTTTGTTGTTGTTTTGCCACAGACTAGTGACAACTTTGTCACCTGCCAAGCCTGGCTTGTGGACATGAAGGGAAGCAGGAAGAGCAGGCAGTGGCTGTAGGATCCAAAGAGAATGTTCCTGGGCAGGTGGAGTCTGCAGCATGTATATAGGCTGAGGTAAGGAATTTGTTTTGAAGGGAGAGACCAGAGTTACTGGAGGCTGGAGAAAGAAGACTACTTTCATCAGAATTCTTGATAGTAAACAACAGAAACCCAATTCAAACAACCTTAAGCAAAAAGGAAAGTATTTGGCTCGCATAACTGAAAAATCCAAAAATTTCAAAGCAATGTTGTCAGTACTTGTCTTCGCTCAGGCTGTTACAACAAAATAGCATAATCTGGGTGGCTTAAACAACAGACATTTGTTTCTCAATAGTCTGGAGGCTGGGAAGTCTGCGTTCAGGATGCCAGCATGGTCATGGGCAAGTTCTGGTGAGAGCCCTCTTCACGGTTTGCAGATGGCTGCCTGCTCCTTGTATCCTCACAGGATAGAGAGGGGGCAAGGACTTTGGTCTCTGCTCTTCTTATAAAGGACACTAATCCCATCATGAAGACCCTACCATGACCTCATTTAAACATAATTACCTCCCAAAGGCCCCATCTTCAACATCATCAAATTGGGGGTTCAGGCTTTGACATATGAATTTTTGGGGACACCAACATTCATCCATAGCAGTAGTCTAGCTCTGTATTTCCTGGCGTCTTTTGCCTCCCTCAGCCTTGTTCCTAGTCAGGCTCCCTCCAAATGAGATAGGTAGACTCACACTGGTCTCAGAGCTGGCAATTCCAGAGAAAAGAGTCCAGCCAACTGTCTTCCAGTTCCCCTATCCGTCCTTGAGACAAACTCTAATTGGCCTCATTTGGGTCGTGCCTTGCCTTGTGCTAAGGAAAGCAGAGTCACATTATTGACAGCCCAGAGCACATGGAAAGGGGGGAGGGGAGTTAAAAAAGAAGGAATGCCTGGCTGGTGTGGCTCAGTGGTTGAGTGACAACCCATGAACCAGGAGTTCACAGTTCAATTCCCAGTCTGGGCACATGCCCAGGTTGTGAGCTTGATCTCCTGTATGTGGTGTGCAGGAGGCAGCTGATCAAGGATTCTCTGTCATCACTGATGTTTCTATCTCTTTCTCCCTCTGCTTTCCTCTCTCTGAAATCAATTAAAATTTTATAAATAAGGAAGGAAGGAAGGAAGGAAGGAAGGAAGGAAGGAAGGAAGGAAAGAAGGAAGGAAGGGCAGACAAGGGGGAAAAACAAAACTGTGCTAGATGCTTATGATGGACCCACAGACTTGGGAGGGGATGGATTTAAAGGACAAATGATGAGGTCACTCTGCTAGGGGATTTCTTCCTTTGAAATGGATGGGACTAAGATCCAGATGGATGGAACATAGAAAGCGTGGGTGGATGGTTTTTATTGGACAGAGGAAAAAACGGTCAGGAAAATGAAGTCCTTTGCATCTGAAAGCCCCTGTCTTCTCTATGAAGTAAGAAGTAAGGTCAATTGCTGGAAGTGAATGAGGTGGAGAGGGGGCGGGGGAGTAGCGGTAGAGACCTTGAAAGGTTTAGAAGAACTGGTAGGGAGGTTTGGAGAGGGAATATGTAGGGGCAAGTAAAAGGATTGCCAAATGGCACTGAGATTGGAGATAAGAAATTCTACCCATCTTTCAGGACTCGACAAAAATGTGTTCTCGACAAAAATGTACTCCTGTTGGAAGATAGCACACACTCCTCCAAGCTTCCTGCTATTTGGGGCCATTCTTACAGCCCTTATTATGTTTCCACAGTACCAAGTATTCTGCGAGCTACATGGAACCGTTTCCTGAGTTTGGAGACTGGCCGTTTGCATAGGGAGGTTAAATACTGATTGCCTGAGGTTTTTGAGTTTTGGAAAGTGAGTAGTAAAGTTTGGAAAGAAAAGAATTTATTTTGAAATGTGTCTGAATCTATTCAGTTCCTGAATTTGGTTAGCAAAGAGTTTGAATACTGAGGATAATATAAGCATGTGCATACATGTGTACATGCATGCACCAGTGTGTGTGTGTGTGTGTGTGTGTGTGTGTGTGTTCGCCTGTTAATTTGCCTGCTGTATTGTACTCTCTTGAAGGCAAAAACCTTGTGTGACTAATTTTCATGTTTGCACAGGTCCTAATGTGGTGGGTCCCGAACATTTGTTAAATCAATAACTAAAAGCCAGCTTTCCTTTCCCACTTTTCCTTGTTCCTATTAAACCTGATTGCTCCGTTAAGAGACTAAAGGGACAGCTTTAAAACACTGCTCTTCTAATTGGCACTGCTTCCAACTGCAATTACAAGCACGTGCCTTTCTTTTTCTTTACCCCTCCCTCCCTCTCTCCCTACCCCTGCCCTCCGCCCCACCATCGGGTAAAACTTGAATCAATTCCAGGAGATGGATTTTGCTGCCTGTGTAAAATGTTCTGGCTTCTAATCAAACGGACATTGCAGGAGTCTATAACAATAGTTCTGTTCTCCACACAAATGAATTCATTTAAGCAGCGCACAGTTTCGATTTCTTATTACCTTTTGGGAGGGTAGAGCATTAGGAAATTTAAAGGTATCATTATTGTATGAAAACTGCTGAGTAAGGAATATCTAAGTGGTAAACAACTGGCTGAACTGCCCGGGTACATCTGAGATAAGGGAGCACATTCTTTATTGTGCCTGAAACCTGTTTCCTATACAAGGGCGGTCCACGCCTTGCTTACAGAGGAACAATAACATGTAACCTTGAGCCCACAGCACAGCTCTGCTGCTTGCTCTTCGTTTGCAGCTGTATCCTTAGACAAGGCCGATTCTCAGGGACTCCAAGCAAAGGATTAAAAGATTCTGATGGCTGAAACGTCTTTGTTTCTGTGTGTTTGCGTGTGAATGAGACTAACATTAACACATGGTCGTTGGTGCTTAATAGTCACTGGAAGAGTGGATGAATAAAGAAGCAAACTCCCCTGCTAGAGAGCTGGCATTTTCCCAGAAGGAGGCAAAGAAACTGAGTCTCTAGACTCTGTGTTTTGTAAGTAGCCTGGAATTGTGTTCAGGGACCCAGGGATTTGGGGGGAAGAGAAGAAATAGACATTTCTGACAGTGGACTCAGGAAGGAGGTCAACCCGCTCTAAAGTGGTTGCTTCCATATTTGAGTTCATAACAGCCACAAGGGTGATTTGTCTAAATAGGAGCATGGGGAGGCAAGACATTGGACTTAATCTCCATTTGCACTTCTTACTAGCTCTGTGGCCTTTGCCATGTCTTGCTATTCTGCTCAGCCTCATTTCCCATTTGTAAAATGAATACATTATAGGGCGTTATGAGAATTAAAATACTGTATATAAACATGTGTATTCATGTGCCAGGCACTAGGGATGTACTGGTAAAGGCAAAAGAGGCAAGATATCATCCCTTAAAGAGTTTATAGTCTAGTGGGAAAGATATACAAATAATGGAGATACTTATGGATGGTGCATTATGGGAGCAAGAGGAAGAACGTCTAAATCAGATTGGGGAACCTAGGAACACTTCCTGGGGAGGCAGTGCTCCAGCTGAGTTTTGAAGAAATAGGAGTTACACAGACAAAAATGGGAAGGTCACTCCAGACAGAGTGGACCGTATGCGCACAGGCAGGGTGGTGTGAAACTGCTGACTGTTTAGGGAACAACAGATAGTTCAGTAAGACTGGAGCAAAGGTATGTGTGTGGGGGAGAGGCAGCAGATGGGGTGAGGCAGGCAGAGGTCAGATCATGAAGAACCTTGGGTGCCCTGCGTAAAGAAAGTGAACTTTACCACCAAAGGTATGGGCAGTGGAGGGGTGGGGCAACCGTGAATGTTTATGCTGAGAAAGAGAACCCTGAATGTAATGTGGGGAACAGATTGTAGGGGTGCAGCTTGAAGGCATGGGGTTCAGTTTGAGATCCCTATAGTAATCCAGACCAGAAAAAAAATGAGAGCCTGAGTTGAAGTAATGGGAATGGGGAGGAGGAGATGGATATAAGCCAGTTAGGAGGTAGAGCTTGCAGGGCAGGAATACAGGGAAGACAGTGAAGGAAACGAAAGTGTCTACGATGATTCACATCCAACCAGGTGGATGACATGGCCATTCATGGAGACGGAGATCACAGGAGAAGGAGCAGGTCTGAGAGGGGGGTGGAGTGGGAGTGGGTAAACACGGTGCTTTCCATTTAGGGCATGTTCAGTTTTACTGTCTGTGAGTCATCCGGGTAGAGGTGTCCAAGAGACAATCTGCTATATGCATCTGGATTAAAAACGTGAATTGGAAAGAACGACCAAGTCTGCTAGTTGCTCCGGTGGTTATTTATTACTTATTATTCTTCGGTACTAGAATTCCTCACCTTTCCCTCCCTCCCTCCCTCCCTCCCTCCCTCCCTTCCTCCCTCCCTCCCTTCCTCCCTCCCTTCTTTCCTTCCTTCCTTCCTTCCTTCCTTCCTTCCTTCCTTCCTTCCTTCCTTCCTTCCTTTCTTCTGAACATTGTTGCTGATTACATGACCACCTAGAATAAAAACTACACTTCCCAGCATCTTTTGCAACTGGGTGTGATCATATGACTAAGATCTAGACCAGTGGTTCTCAACCTTCCTAATGCCTCAACCCTATAATGCAGTTCCTCATGTTGTGGTGACCCCCAATTTCATTGTTACAAATTGAACATAATTAAAGCATAGTGATTAATCACAAAAACAATATGTAATTATATATGTGTTTTCCGATGGTCTTCGGCGACCCCTGTGAAAGGGTCGTTCGACCCCCCAAAGGGGTCGCGACCCACAGGTTGAGAACCGCTGGTCTAGACAATGAAATGCAAGTGAAGTTGCATGTGAGAAGTTCTGAAAACCTTACTTTAGATTCAGCCAATGTGTACCCTGCGCCCCTCCTTTTGCATCCGTCCCTTCCTCCTTTTTCCTGCCTGGAAGACGATAGATGTTGCAATCTTGGACAATAAGGTTGAGGCCATTTAAAGGAGAAAACAAGAGAGAAGGATCCTGGGCAGGGCCGTCACTTTGCCCTCCTCCAGAAGGGAGCCTTCATACTGGGTGTGTGCATAATGCTTCCTGAAAGGCTGTAAATGGAGACCCAGGGCCTGGGTCTCTGATATCACGGAGCTTCCTAACATCTCTGGACTATTTACTCGACATTTATAGGAGAAAGAAGAAAATCCAAAACTCTTTGGTTTAAGCTTTTAAACCAGTCGTATTTGAGTTTTCTCTCGCTTGCTGCAGCATCTAATCCTAAATCGCACAGAGTCAGTAATCTATGGGAGAGAGTTGAAGCCACAGACATGGATCCTGTCACTCAGGGGCTGTGCACAGAGTGAGAAGAACAGATATAGGGACAGAGCCTGAAAGGCAGGCATTTGGGGGTCCCTGGGACTGTGCCTTCTGAAAGATTCCTTTGCTGCTTGTTCTATCCTTCCTGCCTCTGGGAGAAGAGTAAGTCTTCTCTACTCATCCAGGTATTAAACCATCACCAACGGCATAGGCGTGCCACTCTAGCCATAGAGTCACGGCTGGGAGTGGGGTGAGGAAAGGAGCAGCAATGATTTTAACAGCTTTACTGAGAATTCACATATCATATAGTTCAGTCATTCAAAGTGCACAATTCAGTGTTTTTCATTATTGTCACAGGGTTAGTCAACCATCACCACATTCTCATTTTAGAACATTTTCACCCTGAAAAAAAGAAATGGTATTTGAGCCCTGGCTGGTGTTGCTCCATGGTTAGAGCATCGAAGGATCTCAGGTTCGATTCTGGGACAAGGGCACATACCTGGGCTGCAGGTTTGATTCCTGGCCTGGTTGGGCCATGTGCAAAGGCAACCGATCAATGTGTCTCTCTCAGCTCGATGGTTCTCTCTCTCTCCCTCTCTCTCTCCTCCTCCCTCCCTCCCTTCCACTCTCTCTGAAATTGAAAAAATATACTAGGGTGAGGATTAACAAAAAGAAGGAGGAGGAGGAGGAGGAGAAGGAGGAGGAGGAGGAGGAGGAGGAGGAGGAGGAGGAGGAGGAGGAGGAGAAAGAAATGGAATTTGATGCCCTTTAGCAGCTGCTCTCATTCCAAGGCAATGATTTTTTAACTGTGCCATTGGTTGTCCCTTTTAAACCCATTAGTGATACCAATGCCGTAGAGAGGGAGAGAATGGTAAGCTGAGGACACTGAGGTTCACAGGTGACACACAGTGGCTGGACCAGATCTGCTGCCTTTCCCTCCATTGCCCATTCACTTCTGTGAATGATGCTGTGGACATAAAGACTCTTTGCACGGAAGTGACAAGGTAACATGAAAGAACAATGACCTTTTTTCTTCAGAAGTAATTTCAAATTTACAAAAATGGTGCAAGAACACTAGAGAGCTCCTAGATGACCTTCACCCGGACTCCCCAATTGTTACCACTTTACCACAATGGTCTTGCATTCTCTCTGAATATTTATATAGTTTATTTTTTATTTTTCCTGAAAATTTAAAGAGAAAGTTAAAGACATAATGCCCCAGTATAACTTAATCTTTTAGTATGCATTTTCTAAAAACGAGGACATTTTCCGACATAACTACAGTACAAACATTGATACAGTGTTACCATCTCATCCACAAACAATATTCAAATTTTACCATCTGTCCCAACAATATCCTTTATGGGTCTAGAATCCCTTCCAGGATGATGCATTGCTTTTTATTGTCGTGTGTCTTCGGTCTCCTTTAATTTGGAATACTTTCTCAGCCTTTCTTTATCCTGCATATATTTGATATTTTCAGGAAGTACTGCCAGTTATTATGTAGAATATTCCTCAATTTGGGTATGTCTGATATTTTCTCATGAAATATTTTTTAAAATATTTTAAAAATTGATTTTTAAAGAAAGAGGAAGGGAGAGGGAGAGAGAGCGAGAAACATCAATGTGATGGCAAAACATCTATCCGCTTCCTCCTGCACGTGCCAGGGAGCCTGCAACCCTGACACGTGCCCTGACCAGGAATCGAACCAGAAACCCTTCAGTGCTTGGGACAACACTCAGCCAACTAAGCCACACCAGCCAGGGCAGCTATGCATTTCTGACAGGGCTACCACAGAGTAATGCTTTTTCTTCTCAGTGTATCATATCAGGGTACATGATGTCGATTGGTTTCATTACTGGTGCTGCTAAATTTGGTCACTTAGTTAAGCTGGCTTTTGCCAAATTTCTCTACTGTAAACTCAATAAGTATTTTGTACTTAATAAGGAATTAATCAGTATTTTATTGGGAGATACTATGAGATGCTGTAAAAATTCTGTTTCTCATTAAATTTTCATCCACTAGTTTCAACATCCATTGATGATTATTGCCTACATCAATTTCTATTATGATGGTTGTTGAATGGTTTTATAATGTCATTATTCTATATTTATTAGTTGGCATGATATTATGAGGTAGAGTTTTCTCTTATTTACTTATTTATATCATTTTATATGGATTAATATGGACTCATTTTATTAAGAGTGGGTTGTAATAATTAGTCTTGTCATTTATTTTGCTTCTTAATTTTTATTTCTTTTGATTCTTAATTGCCTGCAATTTGGCCAGTTGGGTACCCTTCAAGTTGGGTCCTTTGATATGTCCTCATCATTCCTCAGCATTAACTCACTTTCTGGCACAAAAAGATGTTCTGGATCCATTCCCTGTCTTGGCCTTATCTATATATATAAAAGCCTAAGCTACCGGCCAACAGGCTGACCGGCCATCTGGTAGCTATGATGCGCAATGACCACCAGGGGGCAGACACTCAACGCATAGGCATGAAAACATGGAACAGACTGATGAATCTCAGAGGGAAGGGAGAGGGGGGAGGGCAGGAAGAGATTAACCAAAGATCTTATATGCATACTAGAGGCCTGGTGCATGGATTGGTGTACTGGTGGGGTCCATCAGCCTGGCCTGTAGAGATTGGGCCAAAACCGGCTCTCTGACATCTCCCAAGGGGTCCCAGATTGCACAAGGGTGCATGATCCGTGCATCAGACCTCTAGTATACTATAAGTTCCTGTGGCTGCTGTAACAAATTATCACTGACTTTGTGGCTTCATACAACAGAAATTTATTCTCTCACCATTTGGAAGCCAGAAGACGAGAATCAGGTCATTGGACTAAAATCTAGATGTCAGCAAGACCACGCTTCCTTTGGAGACTCTAGGGAGAATCTTTTCCTTGCCTCTTCTAACTTTGGGTGGTTCTCAGCATTCCTTGACAAATGGCCGCATCACTTCAGTCTCTGCCCCTGTGGTCACACTGTCTCCTCCTCTGCGGGCAATCTTTCTCCCTCTCCTGTAAGCAAGCTTGTGATAGCATTAGGGCCCACCCAGATAACCCAGGATAATCTCGTCTTGAGGAGAAACATAGTCACATATGCAAACATCCCTTTTCCAAAACAAAGAGTAACATTTACAGATTCTAGAGATTAGGATGTGAATATCAATTGCTGGACCATATTTTAGCCTTCCATACTCTAGAATGAAGGCCTGCTATTCCTATTAATAGAGAATGATTTTTAGTAGCCCACATGTGGATGCTAGGTATGCTCGTTGCTACTTGAGTGCACTCTGTGCACCAACAATCAAGAAGTTACACAGACAGAAAGATAGATAGTGTGTATGTCTGTATATATGCCTACCTATGGAAGTAAGTGTATATCTATTTATAGACACACATAAATGCACATAAATCTAATTAACCTATTTACATCAAACCCAGGGGATCACACAGATACCTTCAATTCCAATCCAGCACCACCATTTATCCTAGCCTCTTCCTTTCTGTATCTGTAACTCAAATATAAATGTCTAACCCTGAGACCAGGCTCCCATTTTTCTCAATATGTTTACTTATTTGCTCAATTTCCCTGTAAACAATCTCCTGACCATGTCCATTAAATCCATATCGCCAACCACACTGGCTATCGGAGATGAATCCCATCAGCCTAGGGAAGGGGAAGATGGATAGGATTGTCTAATGAAAATAGGCACACTATGATTTTATTACAGAAATAGAATTGTCTTTGTTAAGGATAAATCTTTCTTTCATTAGTCAAAGCACCTTTAGTTGTGATCTTGCATTTGTTATGCTCAGAGAGAGATCCTCAAATCCCAGAAATGAGAGAATGATTTTTATAATCCAACATCCTCAAGAGCTTCTCTCCTAAAGACTTTAAGATGACAGTGAAGGGTTCAGAAGTTCCCTTACATAGCATACATATTCACATTTAGGACTGCATTTTCTCATCCTTTAAAAAAAAAGTGAATTGCCAGACATGCTGAAGCTTAAATTGCTTATAGACATAAAATGTTTTCAGTTGGATGAACACCTTCATATTTTAAAACCCTAGAAGACCCTGGGGGGAAGCAATTTTAAAATCCACTCAGAGACACTTAACAGCTGGTTTTGCCCCTCACTAACTCCTCTTCCGATGTTGTTCACGGGAGGAAGGGTGGAGTTCTGCAGTGCCATTTAAATTCTAGACAAACACTGGATTTATAGTTCTATTGTGTAATATCATTGTCTAACACCTAAATGGTTTTCCTATCGGGAAACAGAGACTGATGGGGGGCGGGGGGTGCCAAGCAAGGTGAAATTAGTGGATTAGAATGCATTGGGGTGACTCTTTCAAAGTTCTTCAGCCACAATTTTGCTCTTCACTCTCTGGATTAAAAGAGAAAAAAGCGGGTGGGGGAGTGCTATCTTAGCTGTTGCAATTCCTGGATTGCTTACACATTAATAATGTTCCAAAAATGCAACAGACTTTGTTTTCGCTGCTATCGCGTATGCCAGGCATCTGGGGTGAGACGAGGAAAATGGGACCTGAAATGAAAGCCTTCTGAAATTGTGGAACGATGACAGTAGCTTCTGATAGCAGGACTGAGTCTGGTATCCCTTTCCAGTTACAAAGGTTCAGAAATTAAAAGGAGAACATTAGGAAAGGGGGTGGGGCGGGGGGACTGGTTACTACACACCATAGTTTTAAAAAAGGAAGAACACATGTCAGGACCTAGAGGAAATGACAAGGCAGATTTGCAATAATTCAGCCTTTTTTTTTTTTTTTAACAGGGTCCAGCTATGTGGTGTGCTTTACTTAAATGTTCAAAGGACTTGTATCCACTTCAAAGTGGCCCCCCAGGGAGCCCATGCACAGCTCCAAGGTGCCCGTGGGCTTTCGGAGCGTTTTGGAAGCATGTTTTGGAATTAACTTCGGAGTCACTTCATAAGCCACATCAAATTTTGGGCTCGTGACTATAGCAACAACCATTCCCACCCCCACCCCCAAAACTCGGATTTCCAGTCCCATTTTTTTTATCCACTTTTATTTTACTAATTTAACTTTAAGGACTTGGAAATTCCCCCAAAATATCAGACTCAGAGGCCTTTTAATGCCATTCAAAAGCACATTAGTGCTAATTCTGATATTAATACCTATTGGGCTTCCTGGGATGTGCAAACACTTTACATACATTTTTTCTTATCCTTCTTCCCATTTTACCAATGAGGAAACTGAGGCTCAGAGAGAGAGAGAGAGGTTAAGCAACTCGGTCAAGGTCCCACAGTTAAAAAGTGGCAGAACTTGATTTGCAGCCAGTCACCTGCCACCAAAGCCCATGCTTTTGGCCCTGTGCTCCGCATAAATGAGCACGCCACAATTTTTTTTTTTTAAGCAATGGCTTTAGCCCTAGAAACAGGTATTAACCCACAAAGGGGGGCCATTTCAGAAGCACAATGCTCACTGGGTTGTACACATTCCTACTTATGTGTCTAACGTCTGTCACATTGTGTTCCTGGTCACGTCTCATCTTTTATGTTGCAGAGAAAATGTTTACAACTGAAAATGCCAATGGGATGTCACCCGTACACAAATGTAGTAATTGTTAATATTACCATTTAGAACAATGATGCTTAGGAACTGGTGGGGGCCGGGGGGAGGAGTTCGGACTCCCACGGGCGCCCCCATCAGCTTCCAGCATCTCAAAGGGGCCGGGTTATGGGCCTGGTTCAGAAACAAAGCAGTGCTTTGTTCTAGCACATTTGTTCCCCCCGGAAATTTACGATTAATTTCAGAAAATGAAAGGAGAGCACGCGGTGTTTTCAAGTTTATCACAGGGCTTTTAAAAACGCAGGGATTTTAAAATAAGTTTGGAAAATACTCAAAGAAGGGAAGGCATAATCTGTTGCAGTGTTCCAGAAATCTTTGCCTCCGCACAAAGAAAACGCTGACGGGTAAAAGTCAGAGGTAAGGAGGTCAAAGAAAACACATCTTC